CAGGCTGTGCAGAAACACAAGGCTGCGCCGACCACATGGCCTGTGGGAACCCTCCCCGCCCACTCACTCCTTACCCAGCAAACTTGCCTGCTAAAATGCTATTTTTCCTTTTTCCGACCATCAGCTATTCTGCTGTGCCAGAAGATTTAGATTAGCTATGAAGCAGGAAATGGTTGGATTTCTTGCTTTCTAGTTAGTCTTTAGATCTTCGGCTCTGCTTTTAAGCACAGCCGAACCTCTCTTAGGACTGAAGCTTCTATTATTCAGTGCAAACTCATGGCAAGCAAATTTTATGTGACATACTCAGGTAGCCGATGGCAGATAGATAGCTCACTGAATGATTCTGTGAGCAATTCAATCTGCCTGCCTGCTTTGCCTGATTTTGGGTAAAAGTTGCTCTTTTTTAAATAAAAAATTCAATATTTACTCACATGGTTGTGAGTAAATTTTGTGAGTTTGCTTGCTAGCAAATTTTATGTGACAGACTGAGCTAGCTGATGGCAGATAGATAGATCTTTGAATGAATCTGTGATTCTGTGAGCAACTCAATCTGTCTGCCTGCTTTGCCTGATTTTGGGTAAAAGTTGTTCAAGCAAATTCAGTATTTATATAAATATTTATAATATTTACATACAAGCCATGCCCAGCAAGTCACATGACCACCAAGCCACACCCACAAATTAGGCCACGCCCACAGAACCAGTTAGTGGTCCCTGGGATTTAAAATTATGAGTTTGGTGGTCCCTGAGATACAAAAGGTTGGTGACCCCGATGTATACAGTATCCTGACGTACAAGGATATTGTATTTGCAGTTTTAGCAGTTTGAATGTAGATGTGGTAGCTTTTCATACAAATATTTAACTGAAAAACTATTCAATTTCCTTGCATTTGACAAATGATTAAAATTGGAAAGATGGTAATGGAGGTTAAGGTTAACCTTATTTTTCTATTTTATTTTTAAGGAAGCACTTTTCATTTGTTTTTTTGTTGGTTTTGATGCTGTGCTAGTTCAAAAGCAGATTTTGCATATTTAAATGAGACTTAGCTCCTTTATTCTTTGTCTCACTTAAAAGATTGAAAAAAAACCCCGTACTTTTTATCTTGGATAGCTAACATAGAAGTGTTTGCATCCTTCGGAGAGTAGGCTTAATGAAACACAATATGTGTGTCTTTATTTATAGTATAGACCAATTTTCTATATTCTTGAGAAGAACAAGCTTTGTAGAAAAAGCTGCAAGTAAACAATGGAAATATTTCAAATAAACCCCTAGATGGCAGGATGGGACTGTTCACAGTACACGCCCAGAAGCTTAAAATGGTTATCTCTGAAACCCTACAGAGCTTGCATATGTATTTGAAGTACAGACAATGTATTTAAAAAAGGATATTTTTGGAATAGATGAAATGATGAATTAGTCACAATTAATTAGAATATTGCATCTAGTTATTTTACTCATGGCACTATGACTTATTTTACTCATGGCACTATCTGTAGCATTTGGAATTTTTTTTGGCTGATGATGCTTGTTTACTTTGCCACAAATTGTCCATCCCTGTTCTGAGCAGGCTTCACACTCACAAGAAAGATTTGGGAAAAGCACTTCATCATATCTGTTCTATCACTGAGATCATTTTCTTTGTAAAAACAAACATTTCTGTGGTTTTTAGCAATTAATACCAAGTAACCTCTATTATTACTCTGAGTAGACAGCTGTAAAGTTTAATTCCTGTAGTTGTTGGATGTCTATCCTCTAGGTCAGGGCTGTCAAACTCCCGGCCCTGAATGAATCACTGCTGGCCATGCCCAAGCCCCTTTTAGCAAAGGGAAAAACGTCCCGATACATCACATGACACCACTGTGATGATGTGAGTTTGACACTCCTGTTGCAGGCATTAAGACCTGTTAAGCTTTATCAAAATACTGAGATCAATGGCTTCAGTATGTCATAGCAGCAAATTCTATTCTGTAGTATTGTGAGTGCTCTGAAATAGCAAATAAAATTGTTATTTCTTTTTTAGTTTGTTGTCAGAAGAAATATCTGATACTAAAAACTATCTCTAGTTACTCCACTGTTCGTTAAGCTGTTGATTTGTTAACATATTATTTTTTATGTATTCTTGATTGAACACAATTTTCAGAAAATGGAAAACCTTGTAATTACAGAGCAGACCTCACAAAAAAAACAAATTAATAAAGACTTTCTCTTCTTACATACAGTCTAATAATATGCTTTGTTATCAGTAAAACATTTATGTTTGGTCAGAGATTAAAGATGCTGAACCAAAGCTCCAAAGATGCTGAACCAAATGTTTGTCCTTCTATGGGACGCAATTCTGTGTGTAATAGCACTATTTTTTTCCTATTTAGTGGAATTTCCAGTTTCAAAGAAATCAAGTAAAGTCACAAATAATTGTCACAAGTAATAGTGACCTTGAGTTATGTCTCGATCTGGTCTGAAAAACTGTGTTTTTTATAGGTCAGATTGGTATATCATATCCAAACATAGATGTGTATATATTATGATATAAACAAACAGAACTACATCTATTTTTAGTAGACTTTTTGTTGGTTTTAATAAATATATTTAATAAATGTAAATATATCTTAGAAACTACTTTCTCCCAATAGTGTCTTTCTATTGCTGATATACTTGAAGGTCAGATAACAGATAACAGATAATCAGAGTTGGAAGGGACCTTGTAGGTCATCTAGTCCAACCGCCCACCCAAGTGGGAGACCCTACACCATTTCTGACAGATGGCAGTCCAATCTCTTCTTGAAAATCTCAAGTGCTGGCATTCCCACAACTTCTGAGGGCAAGGTGTTCCATTGGTTGATTGTTCTCACCGTCAGAAAGTTTCTCCTTATTTCCAGGTTAAATCTCTCCTTGTTCAGTTTCCATCCATTATTCCTTGTCTGGCCTACAGGTGCTTTAGAAAATGGCTTGACCCCTTCCTCTCTGTGGCAGCCCCTCAAATATTGGAAGACTGCTATCATGTCTCCCCTGGTCCTTCTCTTTACTAGACTAGCCAAGCCAAGTTCCTGTAACATCAAAGGTGTATCCAAAGAAGATATTTTTAAATCAAAGGTTGACTGATACTATGAATTATTGTTATTCATACACAACAATGTGAAATCCACAACTGCCAGTTATTTAGCCAATATTGGCTTTCTTATGCCTTGAATTCTTCCTAAAAACCTAGGTTGTCACAATGTATCAGGATAGTATATGTATGGTTCTAAGGAGTGGGACCTTTTATAATTGACAGATGGAATGTCAATGCACAGATTTTCTAAATTTTTGGTATAGCACCCAGTGTGCTGATAACCACTAGTGTGCTGATAACCACTTTCAATTTTGATTTTCAGACCTTGACACATTGTGATTCACCCACCCCACAATTCTTTGTTTCCTATTCTGCTATCCCCTGGTATTGCTGCATCAATTATCCACACTTTCTCTTTATACCCACAGTTAGATCTGTTGTGTTATGCCTCAAGACTTTATCAGGTTGCATTTGGAAATTCCACAATAGTTTAACCTGCTCACTTTTGACTACTTTTTCAACTCATATGTTCCCACCAATTTTTCATCACTGATTTTTATATTATATTGTATTATTATTTCAGAGCACTTTGTCTCAGCATTCAATTTACAAGCCAGGCATAATTATACTGTGAATGTCAGAAAGGTATTTTAAATACATAAGTTAACACTCAATCTTCTGCCATTAACAAGGTTTATCGTGTGCGTTGTTTAACATTGGAAGTACCACAGAGACTGCATAATCATACATTCTTAGAACAGAATTTGTGAAAGAAGATGCAATCTCTGTTGTTCTTTCGTAGGTATTCAAATTCTTTTAAAGAAACACAAACAGAAGCAGTTAATTAGCTGGATTCTGAGATAGTAGGAAATTTGCCAAAGCTGAAATGTGCTGTCTTCTACACTAACAGAAACAGTTGCTTCAGGGCTGCAACAAGCTTTGTGACAGAATCATGATAAAATCACTTTGTCTTCATATACCAATAGTAACACTGCAGGGGAATAAAGATAGTTGGCCAACAGGGGCTCTGTATTCTTAGTTAGTATTGGCAGCTTTTCTAATTACTCTATTCTAACCACTCAATTATTTGTTGTATCTTCCTAATGTATCACCAGCTTTATTTTATTCATGCACATTTTAATTAAGAAATCACAGTCTAATTTAAAAGTGGTAGGCAATATTTTTTCATCAGATTCTATTTATTGTAACACTCAGTAAAATGTGACAGTCAATTGCTTAATGTCAACTAACTGAATTCCTAAAGAGTTACACATAAAGTATATAACAAGGCAAGTGGCAGCAGCTACAGTATCAGAGTTTCGCACTTCAAAACTTATATCATAGTTTTTATTGTTAAAAACAACTTTGACCATCATTATGGTAGATCCACCACTATTTTGGTGTACACAGCCACTCACTCCCACTTACGAAACTATGCTGCAAAGTGTTAACAACTTATTTGCTGATCAATCCACATTGGTGTCATCAAAGCCTTCCTTGTGTCAGGACAGCAGGTGCAAAAGTTGAAGGTCTTTGTGAATATCTTGATGTACAGGATGTACTATTATTATGCCATGTTATGGACTGTATTTGAAATAACTTTTAGGAAATCAAAATAATGCATGCCTAATATTCATCTAATGGCCCATTTCTGGACTATATCTTGAAAAAGATCTCATCAGGCGATTTGATTTCATCCTAAGGTCTAATGTAATCACATCATCAGACTGCTTACCTCAAGATTCAGGTGGAAATTGAGCAGGCTAAGGATATACTTTCAACTTAGGGCACGTCTAATTAAAGAAGCTCAGAAAAATCTGTATAACTCACAAAATTTCTAAAGAGAACCTGAACTAGACAAAGTACTACAGTTTTTTTTCCCTTCAGGGAAGATAAGAAGAAAAAAGAAACCTACCACATAAACATTTCTCATATTTTTTTCTGGACTTACGGTTAAGAAGCAGGCTGGCATTGGTTGTGCCTAATTTGTTGGCAGCGACACATGTATAGTTGCCAAAATGCTCTTCTGTCACATTGTTGAAATTTAAAAATGATCTTGAACTGTAGCTGTTTATAGTAATTCCTTGTTGCCCATTGATCAATCTAGAATGGAGGAGAAAATGGAAAGTACTGTTAGAATTAAATGCAAATATATTTGCATTTTTAGCTTAATGTGGGTGAAATACATTAGCTTATACTGAAGCAGGATAGGAAACAAACTATGAAAACTATTGATGCCACATTTACAAAAATGCTAATGTCATATTGTTCTAATGAACTGTAATTTAGCAAAGGATTATCATCTATGCAAACAGTGCATACACATTAGTTCATAAAACACATTTCCTTCCTTCAGCACAAGTCTCTTACATTTAAGGAAGTCTCAGTTCAGACTTAGTTTGCTGATTCAGGAAAAAATAGACCAGATATCCAATAAATGTACACATGAAATGATACAAATGGGGCAAATAGTGAAATAAAACTACGATTCATTTTAGAATGAAGCTCTTTTTCTTTTCATTTTCAATTGTGAAGGAGCAGGGCAAGCTGTAACTGAATCCTAGAGATAAACAATAGCAATAACTGATTACTCACAGTTCACGAGAATCAGGGCACAGTAAGGTAAAGATTAGCAAATGACTTTAAAAGCAGGCCATGAAACTAGTACAGTGTTTCTCAAACTTAGCAACTTTAAGATATATGGACTTCAACTTTCCAGAATTCATCAGTCAGCAGATTGAACGCCATTTAATGTTGCCAAGGTTGAGAAACTCTGATCTGGGAGTTATAAGCACTTTCCAGAATCTCTCTTGTCCTTGTTTTGGATACTACCAAAGTAGCTTGAAAGGTAAAATATATTTGATGTGGGTTCAAAGTAAGGCAGTTTAACAACAATGCACTTTGTTACTGAATTTATTTTTTGAGGAAGCAAATGAAAATTATTTGAGTTGATTTATCTAGCTGATATGTTGATGGCTTGGAAATTAAGTCCTTTTTATATGAAGTCTGTGTACATTATGTGTATCCTGTATAGTCAGCTGAAGAGCTATACTGGGATCTCTCTGCATGATGAAAACTTTTATAAGAAGTATAAAAAGGAATCTTTGATAAACACAGATCTTGAACTTCACTTTAGTATTCTATATTTGCTTCATGAATCAGTCTCCATCTTCTACTCCAACCATTGGAAATATCTGTTATTTGGCCAAAAGTGCTTTCTTTTCAAGAGGCAACTGGACTTTCTAGTTTTTCTTAGAAGACGTTTTGCTTCTCATCCAAGAAGCTTTTTCAGCTCTGATTGGATGGTGGGGAATGGAAGGATTTATACTCCTGGAAGAGTATAAATTTGCATTTTTTTAGCAGGTTGTTAAGGTCACCTGGAGGTTTATCTATGTCATCAGGGTCACCTGAATGGTGCAAATTGGTGTGGAGCCTTCTTGGAACTGTTGAAAAGATGAGAGGCAAACATCTTCAAAGAAAAATCAGAAAGTCCAACTGCTTCTTGAAAAAGCACTTTTGGGACAACCATGACCTCTATGACTGAGAATAGACATCTGTTATTTAGTTTAGATCAAATGTGAGAAACTTGGAGGTGACCAAATGTTATTTAATAATAATTCCCAGCAACTTTAGCAGGCATGTTCAAATGCTATACTTAAGGTTCGACAATATTTAGAGAAGGGTTTGACAATATTTAGAGAACCTAGTTCCAAGCATTTGCTTAGTTTAATGGCTTTAGACGTATCAACAATACCAGCATTTTGGCTTCCTTTCCAAAGAAGAGTCAGGATAAATTGATTTTATGCTGGTTCTACCAGTATACAAGGAACAAAAAGGGAAAGGCCAGTGTGTAGCGGAGTTTAATGTGTGGCTAAAGGAGTGGTGTAAAAGGGAAGGCTTTGGTTTTATTAGTCATGATGTCTGCAGCTGGTCCAATGAAAAACTGAACAAAAGAGATGGTTTGCATCCATCAAAGAAAGGGGCTGAGTTACTTGGCATTAAATTCACAGATTTCCTGGATAAACATTTAAACTGAACAGCGGGGACAGAGAATTAATGGATACAGAACATTTCTATCCCCAACAATCTAAAATTAATAAGGATACCAGTGTATGCAAAATAGATGTTTATACAGGTAAGATTATCAACCTTGCTGTCAACCAAAACCAAGCATTTAATAGTGAGTGCCATACCATGTGCATTAATCAAACAGGTGGCAAGAAAGTAGGGGCAGGCAGGCACAACACAAGTTATGTAGACAGTAAACACAGTGTCGGACATAAAGATCTCAAGTGCCTATATACAAATGCACAAAGTCTGGGGAACAAACAGGGTGAACTCAAACTACGAATATATGAAGGTAGATATGATATAGTTGGAATAACAGAAACTTGGTGGGATGAAACCCATAATTGGAGCATACTGGTAGAAGGATACAAACTATTCAAAAAAAAACCAGACCCCATAAAAGAGGAGGTGGAGTTGCACTGTATGTAAAGGACCACTATATTGCTACAGAAATGCATGAAACCTAGAATGCATGTGGGTCAATATAAAAGAAAAAAAAGAATGACATGGGCATAGGTATATATTATAGGCCACCCAATCAAGCAGAAAAAATAGATGTCCTTTTTGCCAACCAACTAACAAACATATGCAGGAAACACACAACAGTAGTAATGGGAGACTTCAATTATCCTGATATCATTTGGAAAACTAATTCTACACCAAGTGAGAAATCAAATAAGTTCCTAACCAACCTAGCTGACAACTTTGTTGCCCAAAAGATAGAGGGTGAAACTAGAGGGACAGCCATACTGGACTTAATTATTACAAACAGAGAAGAAGTGATAGAGGGAGTTGAAACTGCAGGTACCTCGGGTGAGAGTGACCATGTCATACTAGAATTCAACATAACACAAACACAAGCAATAGAACATAATGATACCAGAGTCTTGAATTTTAAAAGATCTGATTTTAATAAACTCAGAGAGAACTTGGGAAAGATTCCATGAATAGAAATCCTAAAGGGGAAAACAACTCAAGAATCTTGGGAAATTCTGAAAAGTATGATCATAGAAGCCCAGACCAGCATAATACCACTGAGAAAGAAAAACAAGAAATCCAAGAAGAAACCAGCATGACTGCACAAAGATCTCTCTGGCAAATTGAAAGAAAAAAAAAGGACAAGTACAAAAAATGGAAAGAAGGACATACAGTTAAGACAGAATATCAACAGATAGCCAGAATCTGCAAAGATGAAGTCAGGATAGCAAAGGCTCAGAACAAACAAAGACTTGCAACAAAAGTCAAAGATAATAATAAAAGTTTCTTCCAACATATAAATAACAAGAAAAAAAATCAAGGAAACAGTCAGTCCACGAAAGAGAGAAGACGGCAAGGAAGTAACAGGCAACAGAGAGAAAGCAGAACTGCTTAACTCATTCTTTGCATTGGTCTTCACGCAAAAAGAAATTATAGCTCAACCCACCAAAAACATAACTGTAAAAGACAGACCAGAAATAAAAGTTAAAATAAGCAAAAAAATAATAAGAGAACACCTGTCTGATCTTGATGAAAACAAATCACTGGGGCCTGATGGATTACATCCCAGAGTTTTAAAGGATCAGGCAGAGATCATCTCAGAACCACTGCACCATATCTTTTAAAAATCCTGGAGCACCGGAGAACTACCAGAAAACTGGAAAAGAGCTGATGTGGCTATGCTTGATTACTCCAAGAATTGTTTATATTTCATCCTGAAAGTAGAAGTCATACTTATATGAATAAGTTACTGTTAAGTCTGGGCAGTGGGTCCCAAGGAGAGACGAGACTCAAAGTAGTGACAACAGCTCTTTATTAGGAAACCAGATACTGAGACAAAGACTCCCAGCCGAGGCAGCTCCTTTTATAGAGCTGGCTGCGGCTAGGCAGCCTATGACATGCATTTGAGCTTGCCGCGCTTGGTTTTACCCAATCGCGGCAGCCAAATAAGAACCAATCAGAACGCTTAGTTTTGTCCAATCACGGCCCGGCTTTTCCGGACCAATAGGAATGCAGGCCTACAAGCTTGCTAGTATGGAACAGTTACCATTTAATTTTGATATATGGAGGCAGTACATCATAAATCTAGGAGAAAAGTACTTTTTTGCATTTAGCAAAATGTATATCTATCATTATTAATCTATAGCTGCATATTGATGATTTAATATTGTATATTACATTAATGTTCTATTTTTATTTAATCACCACACAGTTCTGTATATAAATATATACTGTATTTTAGTTTAATCATATTTTTCCAAAGCAGAATATTACATGTAGGAAATAGATACTATAGTCCTTTTCAAAACCCTGAGAATAAATTGTTGATGTATCAACAATTTAATTTTTTTCCAGTACATTTCTGTGTGATCATGGTATGTGTAATGCATCTTATTTGCATGCAGGTAACTATAGATACAGCCTAATATTTAAACATTTCTTTCACAAAGTTTTAATTATTAGTTTACTAAATACAAATATCATCTGAAAAAGGAATATGAGCTGCATCATGTTTTTATTTCTAAAGTGTCAAATTCAGGTAGACAATGAATAGATTAGAAAGATACCAAGGAAAACATCCCTTTTGTTATAGATTTCAGGGATCAGTTAAGAAGAACAAATAGAAATAACTACAATTATTTAATTATAATTTTGATAGGGCAAACTTTCTTAGGCCAAGTGCTTTCTAATTTTTGACTGGATCCTAGGAGCTGTAATTCTAATCATTCTGAAAAGCACCAATATGGGAAAGGCTGATATAAATAATCCAGGTTAATCTGTCCAATGCTTCATAGCTATCTATGGAGAATGTAGAAATCGATGTAGTTTATGTATTTATGCCTCACCTTTGATATTTTTATAAATAATTAAACATACCTAATACTTCTTTCTCCTCCTATTTTCCCTACAATAACAAGCCTGTGAGGTGCCCAAAATCATCCAGGCAACTTTCATGTCTAAGGCAGGATTAAAACCCATGGTTTCCTAGTTTTTATCCTGGTGCTTAACTACTAGACGAACAGTAAAATGAGTTTTTTTGAATGTTTCTCCTTAATGTTCTACTTGTCAGAATATTTGATTTAAGTGTGAGAAAATAAAAAGTGCTAATTGTACCTACTACCTGCTGCTATATGACTTTATTCTGCTCATTCTATACTACACCTTTTGGATCACTATGAACCTACAATCAATTTTGAAATGTGTCTTATAAAAATAAAAAACATCTATTTTCATGTTAAATAAAGAATTTCAAAACTCATTTCTCTCAATAAAGTTCAAACAGCCCTATGCATGTCCTTTCCTGACTCTGCTCACATATAGTCTGTATATCTCTTGATACACACTTAGTTCTTCTTCTTTTTCCCAGTCCCTACATAAGTTGGTTAGAAGTTCAAACTGGTACTGACCTCCAGGCTGTATGTATAAGAATACCCATCTATTTAGGATATAATATTATAATCCATCCTTCTGTATGCATTTGTTTGAGTATACAAATCAATTCAATGTTCATTGTATTAAATAGTCTCCCTTACTTGGTAGGACTTTTCCCCATCTAGTTCCTACACTTGGGAATTTAATTTATTACATATAAAATATACCGTATATACTCGAGTATAAGTCGACCCGAATATAAGCCGAGGCACCTAATTTTACCACAAAAAAACTGGGAAAACTTATTGACTCGAGTATAAGCCGAGGGTGGGAAATGCAGCAGCTATTGGTAAATTTCAAAAATAAAAATAATTAATTTGGGAAACGATCTCACTATCATGAAAGGTTTAATTGATTCACTAACCCAAAAGAAGAAGATGATGATGGCAGTGGGAGGCAGGAGTCACTCTCTCCCTTGCAAGAAAAAAGCAAGAGCCGTTCTTATGATCTCTCTCTCTCTCTCCCCGGAATAGTCAAGCCCTTTCCAGCAGGCGCAATCCGCCGCCGCCCCTTTGCACCTTGCAAATGCAAAACCCCCGGGATTTTGCATTTGCAAGGTGCAAAGGGGCGGCGGCGGATTGCGCGTGCTGGAAAGGGCTTGACTATTCCGGAGAGAGAGAGATCATAAGTGAATCAATTAATTTGGAAAACGATCTCACTATGAAAGTCAGTGTTCTCTGCCAGTGGGGCATTTGGAAGAAAACGCCCCATGGCATATCCACGCGCATGTAAGGGGAATCAGAAATCCCCGCGTTAAGCCACGAAGTCGCCCAGAATCGCCCTCCCCTCAGGGGGCAGCAACGACGCCCGGCATTTCCCGAGAAGCTCCACCGTGCAATGAAAGCGCCCTGGCTCTAGGCTCGCGGGCTCAGAAAACACCGCGAGCCGAGGTGGCTTCGGCTCCGCTTGGTTTTTCCTCAGCCCCAGCTGCCTTCAGTCCGCTTGGGAGGAGGAGGAGGAGATGGTGGTGGT